TAACCACCCACAACTCACCCCAGGTCTTGACCACTGGGCAGCAGACCATCACTTATGGCAACTGTGATCATCCGGGCGTGATCTGCTAATGTCCTATATGCCACATCCAGATGACTAGCGCTAGACTGGTACTCCACACAACTGCAAGTCTGAAGCAGAGTTTGTTTTAGTAGGTGCTTTACGCCACTCGCAACACTAAGAAGGTTATTTTGCTTAGTAAGGCACGAAGTATGGCAGTCCTGGGTTACTGGATTTAGAGAGTTCACATTAATCATTAAATAAAAGTATGCTTATAGGTAGCTGAGGACTGAGAGGAGTGAAAGAAGCTGGTTGCAAAATCTGCAGTGGTGCCCCTATGGTCAACCAGACTATGGGATAGGTGAAGGTGCATATGTTTATTATTGAACCAAACAAAAACCAACAGACAATGAGATCAAGAAAAGACGATGGCACAGGATTGGGCACACTCATAGAAAAACTAGCCCACAATGCGACAAGGCAAAGCCTAAGATGGAATCCCTAAGGGAGGAGGAAGAAAGAAAGACCGACATCAATCTTCTGAGACCAAGATCTGGAGGCAGATCTCAGACAGATGGGACACAACTCAGCCATCTTATGACCAAAAAAAGTGCATGCGTAATTAGGTCAAGTAGAAAACCCTTTTCATGGCGAGTCTTTTTATCTTGGTTTTTCATCATCATCATATCCTTTTTCACCCTGGATCAGGATATAAGCCACGAACAAATATACTGTCCACTTTTCCCTGTCCTGGGCAAGTCACTTGATGTTACTCCATGTCTTCCCACTTTTCTGTACATCCATTTCCGTGACTCTTCTTCAGGTTCCATGAGGTCTTCTCCTTAATCTTTTACCCTGTGGGTTTCAATCTAACACTTTCCTTGCTATGCAGCTGCTTGACTTCCTGAAAGATCTTGGTTTTTATGGATGTACAATTAAAGTTCAGAAAGTTTTAGGCTTTTGAAAATATATGTTGTGACCTAATTATATATCGATATTGTTACGACAAAAGAAATTTTAATTAATTACTCCATAGCTGTTTACTGTATACCTCAGCAAATCAGACAAAAGTTAGACCGGCCAATGAATATTGACATAAAATAATCTGATCGACTAAATTTTACTGAATTTGAAACACACACAAAAAGTTTGTTTTTTGCCTCTCTTGTAACATTTCATTTTTGGCTAATACATTTTTCTGTCATAAGACGGCAGAACTGGCTGGAAGTAGAGAGGATTGTTCAGTGCAGAGACAGGCAAAGAGCACTTCTGGGCTAAGCAAAAGTATATATGTTCATTTTCTGTGACATTAGCTTTGTTTGATTAGCTGAACAACATTTAAAGAAAACAAACAGGTCGGAAGACAGACTGACCTTATGGATAACTTCAAAGAGAGGCTGAAACACCTGCTTTTTGAATGACTTTGAAGAGAGGCTGAAATATAGACCTTTGCAATGAGTTCTAAGAGAGACTGTGACACTGACCTTTCTTAATGACTTCAAAGAGAGGCTGGAACATCGGCATTTTGGATGACTTCAACGTGAGGCTGATATACTGACCTTTCTAATAACTTCAAAGAGAGGCTGGAATAGGTCAGTGTTGTAGTTGTCCCTAGTCCCACACAGGACAGCGGTCATCCTCTCCAGTCCCATACCAGTGTCCACATGGACAGACGGTAACGGTCGTAAGGTGTGGTCCTCCTGTCTGATGGACGGATGAGGGCCTTGTCATGATTCACAGAAATGTACACACATACACACACACATGCACCAACACACAAATATCCATGGGTGTTCACACACACATATATATACACACACACACAAACACACACACACACACATATATACACACATGCGCGCACGCACACACATTCACATACATGCTAATACATGGGCATAAACACACGCACACATATATATATACACACAACACCCGCACACAAGTACACACAAACACACACACACACACACGCACACACACACATTCACTCACACACACACACATTTACACATACAACATGTGTGTACACATAAACACACATACATACACATACATCTCTACACATTTAGGAAGCAAATTAATTCAAAATTCCTGCTTTAACAGAAACCAAAACTGTATTGAAAACAACCCCCCCCCCCTCACCCTTCACTCCCCCTCAAACTCCCACCTGTTGTACTGCATGAAAACCAGGTTCCAGATCTCCACCACCTCAGGATTGTCTGCATTGACCTCTGACCCAACATAGCCTTGACCTCTGTGGTCATAATGGATCTCAGTGCATGGACCACATGGTCCAGT